AAACCCCAAAACCCCAAAACCCCATTCGATTATAAATATCAAAATACAAAGAAGTATCATTTTAATTAGTAATTCAATCATTATTAAGCATTTTATTTAGCACTAGTTCTGATAAATAATGATGATATAGCTGCAATTCCAGCCATAATACAAAATAGGATCATCGGAAGAATGCCTTCGATTTCAGCAACTTATGGAGCCAAAATAGAGCCAACTCTAGCTACTAAATTCCAAATACCAATACAAGTAGATGCATATTAAGTAGGAAACAAGGTAACTGATAAATAGACTAAGCTGAATGAAGCAGATATTCCAAACTTAGCAGCTAAAATCATCACTGGTAATAAGCTTTCAGCGCTATTTTTAAGAGTAATGTACAAAACTGATCCAATAATAGATATAACAAAAGCAATGACAAATGATTTTCTAAAGCCAAGGAACTTAAAGATTGCCCCTGTTAAGGCATAAGCTACAACTTCACTAACTGAAGAGACAACTGTATTGGCATATATATCTCCCTTTATGTATTTAAGCTAAAAATTTATCAAATAGTAATCGAATGAAGCTGTAATCCAAAGGAAACCTAGAATCAATAGATTTGTAAGATGTTTCTTGTTTTTTAAAAGCATTTTCATTGATCCATCTAACTCACCATCATCTTCTTCCTAATTCTTTAATTCCTTTATTCATTATTTTTATAAGATATCGTAGTAGTATTACCCAAGCATTCTTTTTCTTAATGATTTAGCAAGGTCTCAAATTAATCTTACTCAATTCCAATTAAATTCTGACTATAATCCTTAGTTTCTTCAAATTCTATAGCGTTTGTAGATTAGATTATTATTTCTTGAAACTCAGTATCAAAGACACAATCTACATATTCTTAGACTTCATTAAATCTTGCAATATATCTCAGACTTTTCCTAGCTAAGTCATACTGTTTAATACTATAGTAAAACTTAGGAGATTCAGGAATGAATTGCATTGCAAAATTTGAAATTCCAGTAATGGTAATGCCAAAAATTAGAAGATACAAATACTCATTAGTAATGAATTTAAAGTAGAGGGAGATCCAAATCAAAGTAGCCCCGTCTGTAAATAAGGCAATTGTAGATATAGCAGTAACACTTTTCTGTGGTATCATTTCTAGTAAGTAAACATAAGATGTACCTTCCTTAGCCACTGAAGTCAATCCTAAAAAGAACATCATCATGAAATTAACTGAAGAATACAATCCACTTGCGTCCGTGTATATCCCCTATTCTTGGCACTATTATACATGCAACTGTCCAAATATTAGATCCACCCAGCGAAAAACATTGATCCAATTAAACCTACTTTATAGGGCTCAACACATGTGAGATCTAACTTATCAACCCAGTTGTGAAGAGATTTATCATTATTCCAATCAACTTGAATTGAGGGATCTCTACACTTGTCAGTATGATCGCATTTAGGAATATCAGCAGGGCAAATATAAACTGGGTATAGTTCAAGATAAGCAAGTGCATAAAACAGATACCCACATGAATTGTAAAGCATTATCATAAAAAATGATGTAAACCATTGAAAGCGACCAAACCCACCTGCTGCTAGCAATGCATCATTGTAAGTAAGACCTTTATTCTTTTAACTACTCACTTATTCATCTCTTCTTGGAGTAAAGCAGTCTTTATGATTGATGGTTTGGAAATTGTATCATTTTACTGCTCAGAATATTGTTTCGAAACAAATATGATATTTTTTAATCCTCTACCATTGACTGGTAATTATCCTCTTCTTCATTTTAAGATTAAATTATCATTAAATGATTATAAATACTATTATCCTCTTGAATACAAATATGATGATTGAATGGGGTTTTGGGGTTTTGGGGTTTTGGGG